TTTATTAATTATATAGAATATTCTGAACATTTATGTAATAGAATATTCTGAAAATTTATTAAATCAATAAAATTAATAAACAATTAGCATTTAATAATAATATCATTACAATATGTATTTTATTTTTGCAATTAACTATTTAGTTTTGGAAAAATCTATAAAATATCAAAATGTTTCATATGTAAATCTCGAATATACTATTATAATAATTTCGTGAATATCTATAAAAATAAACAGAGATATATAAAAATATATGCAAAAATTTTCAAAAATAAATGGAGATTTATGAAAATATCACAAAAATTTTTGAAAATAAATGAAACAAAAATTCTGGAGATTTACAGTTTGAAAATTTTCAAAAATTTTTTTGAAAATTTACAAAGGTGTCATATAACTCCAAAAATTTAATGAGGCAAAAATTTTCAAAATATTTCACCTTTAAAAATTTCCTGATGTACTAAGTAAAATAATTCACAGACATAATTTAACATAATTGTTTTACTAATTGGCATAATTGATATAATTATTTTACTGTAAAGTATAACTATGAGGAATGGAGAAATTTTGTGATACAAATTTAATAATTTTTATATTGAAAAATTAAATAGCATTAAGGAATCTTTTTATTTTCCATATTCATATATACTAAATTATTTTTATTTTTGAAAAGGCAATTTGTAAACTTAGTTGAAAAGGAAAAAGTTCACAAACAAAAAAAAGAAAAAAGAAATTCAAACTAGGTTCTATTCTTTTCATTACAAGATTCCTCTATACACCATAACTATTTTCCAGAAGAAAGAGAAATTACTGTTAACATTTTTAGTCAAAAAACTAATATTAAACAGTAAAATAAATATCACCAAGTTTCTATATTACAAAAGATTTATATTTTTTAAACAGCCTTATCCTTCATGATTACTGAAATATAGCAAAAATATAAGAACCCATTTTCATTTATTTATTGTACATTTTGAGTAATTAATAAAAGAAAAAAAGAGAATTTGTATTCTTATTTCTTAGGCTTTTATCAGGGAAAAAGTATAATTTTTTATCCTGTGCACTCTCTGGTTCAAAATTTTATGAGTAATCAGAATTTCTCACATGTTAATTTATGTGACAAATATGGTTTTCACATATAAAAAATTAGGATATTTAATAAAAATTAATATTTGAAAGGTGTAACACAGAATAATAAATATATTTACCTCTAATAAACCTAATCCTAATTCCTGTGGTATACGATAAGAGTCTATACTCCTATGTAAGGTTGTTAAAAAGTCAAGCTGAACTGAACTGAACCTGATCAACTTGAAGTTAAGCTGATGAGATCAATGGGGTTAATGAAGTCGATGGTAAAAAATTACAAATTTTCAAAAAATTTTGTATATAAAATTATATTTTCGATTTCACTCACATGGAGTAATTTTTTAATAAGATATTTCTATGATAGAAAGAAATATATTATTTTTGGCTACAAGATGATATATGTTTCATCTCTGTAGTATCAGTATCATCAAGTTATTACAATTTAAAGTCAAACTGTTTATAAAAAATCTATAAACAAATTCTATTGACTTTAAATTTTAATAACTTTGATACTACAGGGATGAAATATATGCCATCTTGTAGCCAAGAACAAGGCCTTTCTATCTATCATAGAAATATCTTATTAAAAAATTGCTCCATATTTCATAAATCATGAGTAAAATCAAAAATATAATTTATATACAAAAAATTTTTAAAAATTTGTAATTTTTTACCATTGACTCCATTGACCTCATCAACTTAGCTTCAAGCTGATTAGGTTCGGTTCGGTTCAGCTTGACTTTTTAACAACCCTACTCCCATGCATAGGTTAAATTTCCCCTTTTTACTATGTGTAGAAATATAATGTCCTCAGCTATGCTCTAGACAATAATAATATAATAATGAAATAATAATGATAAAATAATAATGTAAATCAATTAAATCAATGTAAATTAATATATATATATAATATAAAATAAAATATAAATGTTCTATGTTCAAAATATAACAAAAGAATAAAAATGTTACACTTTAGCTTAACAGTTTTTGAAAAATGAAACTTGTAATGTATAACTTACATTCGGAAAACTTTTTAAAAGTAGTGAAAAGAAACTCGTGTTTACTTATTTACACAATTGAACCCCTGAAATATTCTGTATTTTGTGGCTGTTCATTTAATATCTTTGATAATGACGTTGAACCTCATATTTTGTACCACGAATCGAAATCATATTATACTACTATTATCATCATATCGTATCATCAGAAGATGTCGGCTCTTTTTTCATTATTAAAAAGATATGACGAATTGATTCTGAAAAATGCTTCACAAATAAGTTCTATCGAAAGTTCACTGAGGACTTTAACTTACGTGCTACCGGGTAATATTCTTTTTCATGAACGCGAATTTTTTGTTACTATTAATATTACACTTGCACCAGGGTTTTACTTTTATTGTTTTTTTTTATAACAGGACGTTTTGCTGATGCCGAGTTTACTTCCGAAACGTGTATGTTAAAAACTTTCGCACATATATATATATATATATATTTATTCATATCTATTTCACATATTGCGTGTTTTGTACCTATGATAAATAAATAGATTTTAATCATCCCAACTTTTTAATTTTCTACTTTTTTCGTGATTTGATGTAATAATCAATTATAATTAATTATATTCAATGTAATTAATTATATTTAATTTTAATCAATAGTATTCGCGTTATTAAATTTAATTGGATTATATCATGATTCAATTTTGGTTCGAGCTGCTGAAAATTTACCACCATCAAAAAGACCAATCCCATCTCCTCATAATAGATACACAAGATATTGGATAAATTCTTCCAAGACATATCAACGCGCCTCATTTGCGTTAACATTCTTACAATATACAGACGTTTTGATGGAGATGGGTGTACAAAAGAAATGGGGTAAAGAAGTTAAATGGAAATTAATCATCGTGATTGAATTAATAAAGTATATAAATTTATTCTTTTTCGTGTATTGTTTTTATTATACAATTTTTTTGTTTAAATTTTAAAATTTTATTTTAATATTGTTTAAAATATTTATTTTATTTTATTATATCCATTTTTTTTTAAAAAAAAGAGTGATCTGTCGAATTTTGCTTCTACATAAAACTCAGGAACGTACCATTGTCAATCCAGCTGTACCGCGACGAGAAATAGATCCTTCTATTTTCAATTCTGATGAATCCATCACCGATGCGAATGGCGTGAATGGTGGTCACGTGGGAAATATAAATAATAATAATAATAATAATAATAATTATAATAATAATAATAATAACAATAATAATAATAATAATAATCTTAATAATGTTGGATATAAAAAAGAATTATCCGAAACTTGGACAGGAAAATATACTGGTCAATTACATGACAGTATTTCAGTTGTTCAAAAAGGAGTAACACAATATCCTGATGTCTCTGATTATTTAATGAACAAAGTGTTGATGATTGAAGATGTACGAAAACCTCCCGATTTGGTTCACAAATTACAAGGATTTGGTTCAATTGGGGAATTGTTATATATAATTCGACCTCTCCTTTATGGTATATTTTTTCTCTTCGTTTCTAATTCGTAATTTATTATTATTATTTATCATCAATCATTATTATTTAAATTTTATTTCAAAAAGATATACCACGATTTATAACTTTTTCATAACTTATTATAAATAGTTTTGACATTGAGAAGATATGGAAATCGTTCATGGCGTCCATGGTTATTATCAATATCTATAGAATTGACGACAAGAATTTTAGCATCTTATTATTACAAGAAACGAATACCAGGTGGATATAGATGGTCTTCATCATTGGAGAAAGAAGAGCAAAAAAGACGCATTCGACAATTTTTCTTTTATATTTTAAGAGGGCCCTTCTATGAAAAATTCACCAAGTATTATATTTATTTATTTATTTATTTATTTATATATATTTATAATTATTTATTTATTATTTATAATTAATTATATTTTTTATTATATTTAATTTATTTATAATTAATTAATTAATTTATTTTTTATTATATTTATTTATTTATTATATTATATTTACTTATTTATTTATTTTTAAATTTTCATAGGCCTAGAATCAATAATTTTTGTCAAACAGTTAGTAACAAACCAATTTTGTCATTATTTGGAGGAATTCTTAGAGATTATCAACCATTGTGGGAGAATATATATTTTTACAGTAAGTATTACTACTCTTTATTTTACACTCTCTATTTTACTTTTGCTCTTTATTTTTTGTATCTCACTCATATTATTATTTAAAATATTTTTAGCAGCATCATCATGATCATGAGCAGAATTTATAATATTTGACAATTCTTTTATTTTGATTTATTATTATTGGAGAATTATTTGCATTTTTGTACTTTTGGACACATAAACATACATACATACATACATATATATATATTTACTTATTCTAAATTTTGGGAATTTGATGAATTCAAAAATAATTATTTTTATACAATTAAAAAAAAAAGAGAGAGATATAATATATTTTATATATTTTGAGTCAACATTCATATTTATTATCGAATACATAATACTGTATTTCCAATGTGAATACCAAAATATTTTAAATATTTAAAATATTTAAAATACTTAAAAATATTTAAAAATATTTAAAAATATGTAAAAATATACAATACGTATGTAAAAATATGTAAAATATACAATACATATGTAAAAATATGTAAAAATAGATATACTACTGTATACACCAATTTTTTTTTTTTTTTTTTTGAAAATAAATATATTTTATCTAAAAAGAAATAACCAATGCCCAAAACTTTTCTTTGTTCTTCTTTCTAGATATCCCGATAATATATTTTACGAATTATTTATAACAATCAACTACATAAAATGTAACAATATATCAAAATATCTCAATATATCATCTAACTGCTAAATAATAAAAATTATTATATTAAATAAATGTAAATTATCTAATAATAATAATAATAAATTTTCCAAGTTTAATATAAATAATATATATATAATAGGTGATAAATGTTCTCGGTTTAACTAATTATATAGTAACTATAAAAAAAAATAAATACTAAAATATGACGTATATTTTTTGAATAATTTTTATAATCTAACTTTATCAGTTAAATTATCCCAGAAATGCCATAATTCTTCCAATGATTTATTGCTGTCATCCACGATACCAAATTTCAAAACGATATCACCTTTAACTTCATTCTTTGAACTACGCTTTTGTAATGTATAAGCGGCTGGTTGATTAGCGGGATCATCAAAGGTTCTAGGACACCCATCGTTTAAACCTCCATTATTTCTGGCGAAAACTTGTTTAATTGGAATAGTTACTTCTCCCAAAAAATCTCGACCAAAACGATCTTCATCCCATACTGTAACAGTTACATGAGGTGGTACGTTCTGTTCTGATATTCTTATATCAAAAGAAGTATTCCAAACTGGATTTAAAGTTTTTTTTATTACGGCTGTTTCATGTTTTTTATTAGCTACTCTAATAACTGCATATGGGTCCGAAGAACCATCTTTATCACTATAAAATGAAGCAAGCAAATTAAAATTTACCATTAAAATGTTAACTTTCAACAAATATATCGAAATATACCAAAAAAAAAAACATATACATACGCCGCTGCCAATTCTCTAGCTGCCAGAACACCAATTCTAAGAGTTGTTTCCATTCTTTCAAATAAAAAAAAAAAAAAGAGTGCTCTAAGTGTGATAAGATTTTGTAAAATATATATGATGATGAAATAAGTAAAAAAAAAAAGAAAGAAAAAAATGGAATAATGTTTGTTTTTTATTGAAATTCAATGAGCCAATGGGAAGTTCGAAATTCAAAATGAGGAATGATTTACACTTCAACCAATCTTTTTTTTCTTTACAGATATATAACATCCACATTTATTATTTTTTTCTACTGTATTATATGAATGAGAAGAATAAAATAAAAAATGACAGAACCAATCGTTCGCTACTACGACCATGTGGTCCTATAAATAATCTTTTGGTTATATTACATAATATAACGTTATCTAACATAAAGACAATTTTTTAAAAGATTAAAAAGTTAACTTGACGTTGACGCCGCTGCAATATAATGCAAATTTTATTGTTCCATGCTTTTTTTGGTACTTCTTTTAATGATTTTCACATTATCATTTTTTACACACAACATTATTGTTTGATCAATCCTGTCGAAAATGCATTAGAAAAAAACAAAAAAAAAAACGTAAATGGACGAATTTACATATGTGAAATATATTTAAAATTATATATATATTTTTTTTCATTCATTCCAAAAAAAAAAACAAATCAAATATTTAAAAGAAATCCTATTATGTACAGAATTAACTAAACGGTTTTTTTTTTCTTTTTTTATGGGATCTAAAAAAAATGAATAAAATTAATTTTACATTTCAAGTTTAGCAAGCTTTTATTATTATTATTATCATTATTGTTAAATTTCATGAGTGAAACCACGTGTGAGGGCGACCTTACTCGTTTGGTTATTGTTTTACTGTATAACACAATCATCATTGAACCTAATCTCTTAATATTTATCATTTTGTATATACCACTCAAAATCAAATAAAAAATCAAATAAATAATAAAATAGATTATTTATTTATTTATTTATTTATTTGAAAATGGAAAATTTGATATCTAATTTAGAAACGTTAACAACATCAAAAGAATCATCGTCATCGAAAGAATTAGTTTCAGAAGAAGAAAATCAAGAATATTCGAATAATAATAATAATAATAATAATAATATTCTTATTACCGATAATGATGATGATGATGGCGATGATACAATGGAATCTTTACAAGTAGATTCATTATTCTCTAAATATGTAGTACAACGTATGAAAGATATGTTGAATGAAAAAGATTTGAATAAAATGATTGAGAATCAAGATCAAATGTGGGTATCTCAAAATAATTTCTCAGATCAGATAATTTTATATTAAATAAATGTGTACATATATATATATATATACATAATATATAATATATATAATATAAATAATATATAATATATCTAATATATCTAATATATCTAATATATAATATATCTAATATATCTAATATATTTAATATATATTGTAGATATCAGTCCTTAGAATCTTCAACATCATCAGTAATATCATTCAATGAATTTAGTGCATCAAAGTATAATGAACTTGCCAAAAAATTTGAATCTCACTCTAAATGTATTAAAGAAATGAAAGGTGATTTAGAATATATTTTTAAAAAGATAAGGTTAGGTTGGCACATTATATCTTTTAAGATATATATTATTTTTAATTTTATTTTTATTTTATACTAATTTTTTAAATAATTTATATTATTCAAAAAACTTATAATATACAATATACCAATATTTTATATATACATAAATTTTATAATATATAAATAGAATAATAAAAACAAAAATATCTACACAACATCCAGATGTATTTGAACAAGTTGAAACAAAATTTCCTAGGAATGAAGAAGAAGAAGAAGAATGATGAATAAATTAAAATATAATATTATAATATTGTATTCCATATTTTATGATATTAATGTATATATATATATATAACATTTTCTAATATTTCTAACAAACATTTTTATAAAATTATAATATTTATAACCATTTATGTACTTTATTCTGATATATTTTACAAATATAATAATATAATAAATATAATATGTATATTAAAAATTATTATTTAAATTCAGTTCCCGAGACAAAATTTCCTTGAACATAAACTCTTAAAATATTTCTTTCATCCCCTAAAAATATGAATTTTTCAAATATTCTTTCAATATTATCATCATCATAATCAAATATATTAATAGGTGATTGAGGTGAATCAGGATCAATTAATAATGCATCAAATTCTTTCCCTATTTCAAAATTACCAATTACATTTTCTAAATTAACTAAATTTGCTCCACCCATTGTTGATAAGTAAAATAATTCTGAAAGTGTAAGATGTGAATTATTATTATTATTATTATTATTATCATCATCATCATCATTATTATTTTGATTAGAAAATTGAATTACTTTACTAGCAATACTCGCATTACGTATAGAATCTAAAATACTTTTTCCAAATCCACCACTAATATCAGTACCCAAACCAACTTTAATATTATCATTTAATAATTTTCTTACATTACAAATTCCTGAAGAAAGTGAAAAATTAGAATTAGGACAATGAGAAATTCCAACTTTTAATTTTTTAATAAGATTTCGTTCATATGATGATAGATAAATTCCATGAGCCATTATGGTTTTTTGATTTAATAAATTATGATGTTCATAAACTGAAGTATAATCTTTTAAATTAGGAAATAAACTTTTCACGAATTTGATTTCATCCTTATTCTCAGAAAGATGAGATTGTATTGGAAGATCATATTCTTGAGCAAGTTTTGAAAGTGAAAATAATAATTCTGAAGTACAACTAATAGCAAATCTTGGTGTTATAACTGGAGTAACTAAACGTGTAACTTGATTCATAATTATTTCATCATCATCATCATCATCATTATCATCTTTCATATCTAAATTCATTACATATTTCACAAAATTCTTAGTATCTTCAATACTTGATTCAATTGTTTCAATATAATCATTAGGACAATAACGATCCATATTAACTTTTCCCAAAAATCCTCTTTGACCTTTTTCATGAATTAATTTTGCTAAATATTTACTTGATTCTAAATGAATAGTAGAAAAATAAACAGCGGTAGTAGTTCCATTTCGTAATAAATTATTAATTACCACCGGATATACATTTTTGGCAAATTCTAAAGATGAATAAGATTTTTCTAAAGGGAATGTATATTTATTAAGCCATTCTAATAAAGGAAGATCTAAACCGGTACCAGCATTTGGAAATTGGGGTGCGTGGATATGAGTATCCACAAATCCAGGTATTAAAAATTGACGTTTAGTTAATCTAATTATCTTTAAAATAAATAAATAAATAAATAAATAAATAAATAAGTAAATAATAAAATAATTAATTAAATAAATAAATAATTAATTAATAAAGATATATATTATTATTATAAAAATATTTAATAATAATAATAATAATAATAATAATAATAATAATAAATAAAATATTTTACTTTTTCTTCGTTAACGTTCCATTTACTTAAAATATCATTGATATTTTGTTCATTGATAATATTTTCTTCCACGAAAGCAATTTTACCAAATTTATCAATTCCCAATAATGTATTAGGTATAATAGAAAGTTTTGTCAAGGATAAAGAATGGATCAATGTACCGTAAAAAATTTGAGAGATTATACGAGTCATCATGAAAAAAAAATTTATAAAGTAAATTTTGTTAATTGAAAATGAAAAAATTCATTTTAGAATCAGTAATTGATAAAATATACTATGATATACTATAATTATACAATATTACCATATATAGTATTGTATTATAGAAATTAGATATTGTATTATAAGTAGAAACTAAATCCTTGAGTTGCACCAAATCTCACCAATCACCAATCTCCAATCACCATTGAGAAAACTGGTAAAATGCAGTTTCACAAATAGTTTAGAAAATATACACCAGTAAATTTAATAGGCAATGATCAATGGAGGATTTTTTACTTTTTTTTTGACTTCGCTCACGATTTGCGAAGTGTAGTGAGAATTTCTACTAAAGTATTTCTAAAATAAAAAGAAAGGCCTTGTTCTTAGATACAAAATTATATGTGTTTCATGCCGATAGCATTGATATGCGCGGAGATATTCGCGTTTAAAGTCGAACGTCTGTGGAAAATTTCTGTCAAAAATTTTCCAGAATTACGGAAAATTTATGGCAGAAAATTTTCACGGACGTCGACTTAGACACGAATATCTCCGCGCATATCAATGCTATCGGCATGAAATACATATCATTTTGTAGCCAAGAACACGGCCTTTCTTTCTATCTTAGAAATACCTTAGTATAAAATCGACCTACACTTCAAAAATCGCAAAAATCCTCCATTGATCATTGCCTATTGAAATTTACTGATATATATTTCTTAAACTATTGGTGAAACTGTTTCTTTTTTCCAGTCTCACCCACCAATTTCACCACATTTCACTTATATCACCAGTTTCACCATTGTCACCAGTTTCACCAATATCATATATTTCACCAGGTGAATAAATTGACCTTTGAGATGCACCAGTTTCTACAGTTACACCAGGTGAAATTAATTAGATCCACCTGCACCTTTAATTATAAGGTAATCTATTTGACATTTATTTAACTTTAAATCTTGGTAATTAATGTCATTATATTTTTGGTTTTAGATTTTTCAACTGTTTATTACTGAATGTTAGATAGATATTTTTTCTTAAACTTGTTCTTCAAAAATAAGTTGTTGATTACCTATTCAATTCAATTAATAATTAATTTCCATAGGTAAAACTAGGGATCACCCGCGGTATCCGGGTGAAACCGGATTATATAAATCCGGTTCTAATCCTTGTATCATTAAATTTTAGTTACCATTTCAGAATCACTTTTCTCTTGATTATCTTTTCATAATATACATATTTGTAAGTAAAAATTATATACATTATCGTATGTCCGGGTGTCATTACCGTAGGTTAATTTATTAAAGGGTAATTTACGTTTCATTATTAATTTATTAAATTATTAAAATTTGTTATACAAATGAGGATTTATATTTTGTTGTTTGAATCCTGAATTTTTTTTATTCAAGAATTACTTTTATTAACTTCTCGTGTCGAAATTTTCGATCGCTCCTCCCAAATTATTGTCATCATCATCAATCATTAGCATATAATCAATCAAAATTATCATCCATTATAATTCAATATCGTTATTTTTTTTCTAATGTATTTGATGATTGAAGAAATGGTAAGATAACTATATTACGCATCATATTTATTTTATTTATTGTATTTATTTTTCTTTATTATTGTATGAGTTATTCTATATCAATATTGTATGAGTTATTCTTTTATTGTATTTATTCTATTCTTGATTGTTAAATATATTAATAGTCAGATCGACGTTTATACAGTCTATTTTAATCTTATCAATTTTCTAATTATAGTTATTTGTTATGTACAATTTACTCATTTTGGCCAATTTTTCTAATTCTCTTTTCTTAATCATTTCGTATCTTTTCCGTATAAATAAATAAAATATTATAAATATATAAGTATGATGATAATAGGTTTTTTGGGTTAGCCAAAGAAACAGTAAAAAAAAAATTTATTTATTTATTTATTTATACTATTTATACTTCTAACACAAGGTCACAAGAATATAGACTTTTCTTTAAAGAATAATAATAGGAGATTTTTTTTTTTTTTCAACTGTATTATTCCTCTTCTCTTTTCTTTCTGAACTCTTCCTTTCAAATAAATAAATAAAAAAAAAATAATAGTAAATAATAGTAAATAAATTTTGTAAAAATGTAAGTATATTAAGTAATATTTTTTTCTTTCACAGTTTTTATATAGTTTTACATGGTTCTTATGGTAATTGCTTTCTAAATTCAAGTAATTATATCATTTCGTAGCAGGGAAAGAATAATTTATATAAAATTAAAAATATATTTTCTTTTAAATATTTATTTAAATTCATTTATTTTTTATTATTATTTAATTCATTTTATTGTATTTTATTTTATTTTATTTTATTTTTTATTATTATTTTAATTCATTTATTTTTTATTATTTTAATTAATTTATTTTTATTATTATTCAATTATTTCATCAGGACTACTACTACATCGCCACCTCAAGATGATAAATATGATCCTTTTGTGCCTAAAGGTGCAGCAGCCGCAGGCGGTGGACAAAAAACAGCACAAATTCAAAAACAAATTGATGATACTGTAGGTATTATGAGAGAAAATATTAATCGTGTAGCTGAAAGAGGTGAAAGATTAGATGCTTTACAAGACAAGACTGGTTAGTAAAATAATCTAATTATTTATTTTTTATGTATTTTATGGAATATAATTATTCATGATATTTTTTTTTTGTTTATTATATAATGTAATTTTTTTGTATAATATTTTTACTTTATGTAAAATAGAAAATTTGACCGTGTCAGCACAAGGTTTCCGTCGTGGTGCCAATAAAGTACGAAAGAGAATGTGGTGGAAAGATATGAAAATGAGAATTGTTCTTATTGTCGTAGTAATCGTATTATTATTGGCCATCATTTGTAAGAATCTTTATTTTTTAATTCTTTTTATTTCTCACATTTCTCACGTTTTTTGTTTTGTATAAAATTTTTTACTTATTATTTCATCTATTTATTCTTTTTTTCTTTTAATTCTTTTAATAGTACCAATTGCTCTTAAGAAAAAATAATCTTAGTATGTAAAGTATGTAATAAATAAATGATAATCGTACAATATAATATAAATAATACAAATAATACAAAGTGGGTTTTTTTCCAAAATTTATCAAATCATTGTTTTAATTATTCTCAAATATTCACAAGAATATTCTCAGTATTCTTTAACATAGTATTTACAACGTTACAGTATTTTTAGGACACGACTTTCATTTTATTTCTCTTCTTTTGTAATATTATTATATATTCTATTTTCATAAATCTTATCATCGAAAATGTGTGTATATATATATATATATAACATTAAAATATCTTTTTTTCTAAAAAAAAAAAAGTATTGAAAAGTATTTATTAATAAATATGTTATTCAATAAATATATTGCTCGATAAATATCATAAAGATTATTATATATCTATTTTATCAATGAGAAATAAACAATAATAAATAACTTGAAAATTTCAAAATATTATAAATTTAATTATAAAAAATGTTATAAATAAGATACATAATAACAAATAATAATGAATTGATAAATAAAACAAATAAAAAAAAATTGATTTGAAATAATAACAAAAATACTACTAATCATTACTAAAAAAAAATGCATAAAAAAATCTGAATATATAAATACATAATTTCACAAGTCTTCTTTAAATACATTGATTGTTTCCAAAAAAAAAAAGATCTCATCTCTTCCTTTTCTTCCTTCCCTTCTTTTCGACCTTTCCTCCTTGTTACATAAAATTAGTAACAAATATATATATATTTTACTCCTCATTCAAAACTACGTTTGGAACATATTGATATTCGGTCAAAGAAATATTTTTATCCAGATTTGGATGCATTTCATTGATGATATTAATATTATTTTGATGATTATTAATGTTACTAATATTATTACTAGTATTAATGCTAATATTATTACTAATATTATTATTGTTAAGATTATTATGATTATTAAGATAATCAATAATTTCACTTTCATCATTAATTATTTTTGCATTAGTGTTTTGATCTATTACAATGCGCATAAATCCTCGATACATTTCAACTCTGGCATTATGAAGAATGACATTTGTTTCAGGTTGAAAAAGTGGTATTTGATCTGATGATGATGATGATTATTATTATTATCATCATTTTATTATTATTATTATCATCATCATTTATTATTAAATAATTTAAATTAAATTAATTGATTGATTAAATTGATTAAATTAATTAAATTAATCAATTCATCATCATCAAAAATCAAAGAAAATTATATATTAAATTTATTAACTTACCATCCATAACTTTCACAATTATACATCCCGAAGAATCACCAACAAGAAATTCAGCAACTTTAATTTTAGTCCAGGCTTTTTTTTTTCAAACCAAAAAAATAAAATAAAATAAAAATAAGAATAATAAAATAAATAATAAAATATAATTTTAATAATAATTTTTTTTTTTGATTATGTAAAAAAAAACTCACTAACTCGTATAATCATCCACTTCACTAATCATGATTTTCGCAATAACTTTCACACAAAGGTTAACTTGATATTGTTCAGGTTGTAACTCACAGATACGCATATCTATTTAATTATTTCAATCAAAAAAAAAAAAAATTTGTTTTGACCAGAGAATTTATTAAAGTGAAAATAAATACATATATATTTACAAACATATATATATATAATTATAAATATATCGACTTACATTTTCTGGAAGATTTAGATTTGTTGGAGTTTTTTGCTGGAGAATTTTTGGAAATCATTATATAAAAATGTATGTGTGAGAGATGATGGGACATTTTTTTTTTTTGGATTTACGCATTTAATGTGTTTATTTTTCGGATCATTTAACGTCGTTTAAGTCACATACCCGGGTTGATACTAAAACATTATACTCCATTTAACAATTAAGAATTGAAATGAATTTAATAAATACCAAAAGTTCAAAATTATTCTCTGGAATTTAAGTGACTATTATTAGCTCAATTTTTTATTAAATAGGTCTAAATATTTTATAGATGGTGCATTATATTCTCAGCTTTAATGTTACTTAGTATTAGTTTTATTAGTATTTTTTTTTTTAACTATCGGAGTCTTGTTAGACACTTTATTAAATAAAACAATTGTTAAATTTACATGTGTTCTAACTACCTACTCTAAACTAAACTATTACTAATTTAATCTAGACGACGAGTTGACCCATCGACGCCCACAAAGTGGGAATTGACGGTCTGAACTCCGTCAGTTTATTAGTATTTTGGTAAATAAAATACTTTTATATAAATTTCGTCCGGTTTTATTCACGACTAAAGTAAGGTCCCGATTTTCACTAGACTTCATGAAAAGTGGTTCTAATTAAAGTTGTAGATATTGTTTCTGGCTACAATTTGATATAAGATAGTTGATATATATCTTTAATATCTATCAAATCCGATATGAGTGTAAATTTAGATATTCTAAATTTTATAATCATATCACAAATAGCATTTTTTAATTTTAGGATTGATTTTTATATTTTAGATATTTAATCAATTATTAAAATCTATTTGTCATTATTTTTCACATGAAAGTAATATTACTCGAGAAGTTATAATTAATAATTATTTTCCAATAAACAATCACAAAAGATAACAATAATAATATTGTTAATCTTCAATCTGGTCAAGGATTCGATAAAGAAATGAATTTTATGAATACAACAATTCCTTATTTCATTCGTTTAAAAGAAATACTAAATAATGTAATCACGTTATTTTTTCAGAGATGAATTTCTTGATATCAAATATCGTATCGAAAATCATTCTTTGTGTGAACCATTTTTAATAAATTTTTTTTCCAAAAAAGGGAAAGATGTTGGATAATTATAAATCTAAACCTAAAAAAATTCATTACTTTAAATTACTCTAATTACTCTCCCCCAAAAAAACTTTACGAAATTACTTTAAGTTACTTTACCAAAAAAAAAAAGCTTTACATTTTTCTTTCTTTTTTTTTTTTTTTAAAAAAAAAAATGGCAACGAACATTACATGGGATCAAAGTAATGTTTCGCGTGGAGAACGCGAAAAATTACTAGGTCAAAAAGGCTTAACAATTTGGTTTACTGGACTATCTGCTTCGGGAAAATCAACCATAGCGAGTGCCTTAGAAAAATATTTATTAACGATGAATATATCAAGTTACAGACTTGATGGTGATAATATTAGATTTGGCTTAAATAAGGATTTGGGTTTTGGTCAAAAAGACCGGGAAGAAAACATTCGAAGAATTGCTGAAGTGAGAATTTATATTTAATTATATTCAATTATTCAAAATTTTTTTTTATTTTTTTTTTTATTTCCCTTTCTCATTACTCTCATTATTATAGGTTGCAAAACTTTTTGCAGATTCTACAACAATCGCACTTACTTCTTTCATTTCACCTTACAAATCTGACCGAGAAATCGCCAGAAAATTACATGAAGATTCCGGAATTCCTTTTGTTGAAGTATATATTGACGCACCTCTTGAAGTTGCAGAACAACGTGACCCGAAAGGATTATATAAAAAAGCAAAAGCTGGTGAAATTAAAGGTATCATCCATCATTTTCTAAAATTCTCTTCATTTAAAAATCATTATTTATATGTGTTATCTCAGTAAATAAACTAAATTAAATATTTATCTTTTATTAGATTTCACTGGAATCTCGGCTCCTTACGAAGCACCACCATCTCCAGAAATCCATATCCATACTGATAAAACTACAGTAGAAGAAAGTGTCAAGGTAATCTTATAAACAAAAATCTTTATTTCATAAAATATCATATATTTAATATATTTAATATTAATTTTATTTCTAATAATAATATTAATAGATTTTGATTGAATTTTTGGCTAAAAAAAATTATATTACAATTGCGAATTAATATTTATTTATTTATTATTAATTAATTTATTTATTTAAATTAAAAATTTTTTTTTTTTCAATCCTGAATTTTGATAATTTTGTATTCAAAGTATTGATGAATTTCTTTTATTTAGAAAAAATTTTCACTAAATATTTATTAATCAACTTAAAGAATCGAAATAAATATATCTTTTCCTTGTAACATTATTTATTTATTTACAATCAAAGATGTTACCTTCCATTCGCTATGTTATTTTTAATTGTATTGTGAATCTCATTAATAACTTCTTGTGCTGCTGTCTTACTTAACTCATAACAATCAAAATACTGTGAAATAATTAATAATGAAATATATATATATATTTTTAATATAAATATAATTCATCATCAAATAAATTGTTATTTCAAATTAATGTTTTTACCTGTTGTTCTGTAAATACTCCAAAAGATTCACAAAACAATAAATTCAGTGATACTTTATTAAAAGCAAAGGTATGAAAAGATTGATTTTCCTGAATACACAAATGTTAGTTATGATAAATCATTAAATATTAGATTGATTCCTTTTTTAAGTAAAATTTCATATATTATTCAAACCTCAATTTCTTGCACTTTTGGATCTATTAATATTGTTCCATCTTTACAAATGACACACGAAACAGCCACAACTATATCTCTCATTGAAATTCCTGCATTAATCAAGGCCATTGTTGTAGCATTGATTGCTGTAGCCAAAATCTAATCCAATTAGTAAATCCAATTAATAATCCAATTTATAAGAGTGAAAGATCTTTCCATTTTATTCAAAAAGCTTTTATTAGTTTTATTATTATTATTATTAAAGCTTGATTTGGAAGTAAAGAAAAAAATGGAAAATAAAAGAAAAAAATAAGGATACACTTCCATCATCCATTAAAACCTGACATACAACTTGGATTAATGTCCGTGGATGAAGATTAGTTTGAATAATACTCTCTAATGTAGAACGTAAAACTAATTCGTGAGTTTTCTCATTGGTTCCTACAAAAAATTAATTTTTTTTTTATATATAATTTAATTAATTATTCAAAAAAAAATATATATATTGAAACTACTGCTATTGACTATTAATTTACCAGGCGAACCGATCCAAGGTTTGAATGATACATCTATTGTGGCTTTATCCAATTTTTCATCACGAACTTTAACTTCGGTTGGGCCATTTATTGAACATAAGACAGCCGAATCGCCTAATATTTAAAAAAAATAATTGACGTGTCATAATTTCACGTTATATGACGTGTCTATTTTTTTTTGCTCGTGTGCAAAATAAATACAATAAATACCGAATTTAAATAAAGCGGATCCATCCTTATTGACATAATTTTGTTCAATGGAAATTGGTCGAATTTCCGTAAATTTTCGTTTATCTACACGATTCGACGACATGATGCATATCTGTAAATACGATATTTTGAAAAAATATGATAAAATATGAGTCACGATACCTATCATGGCTGAATAAGCCACATGAGCCACATCTATTGATAACATATAAATCAAAAAAAAATTTAAGATTCTCTATTCTCTGATCGAAAATAAAATCTTTATTGGCATTGGCATTTAATCCGACTTTAAATTTATTTAAATTAAATTATGAGTACTTTCGGTATAATTTTTCGGGTGACAACTTACGGTGAATCACATGGCAAGTCTGTCGGGTGTATAGTGGATAATTGTCCACCTGGGTTACCTCTTGTCGAAAGTGACATACAACCTCAACTTAGTAGGAGACGACCTGGTCAAAGCAATTTAACAACACCGGTAAAATTTTGTTATATAGATTATAAACTATCGGTGATCAAAAGTTATGAAATAAAATATATAAAATTTCATTCGAAAACTAAGGAATTCCTCGTGCTTCGTGATTTTTTAAATTAGCGCGACGAAAAAGATTTGGTTGCCATACAATCAGGAACAGAATTTGGAATTACTCTCGGAACTCCGATCGGATTAATAGTTCCTAACCAAGATCAGCGTCCTCATGATTATTCAGAGACGGATTTTTATCCTAGACCTAGTCACGCTGATTGGACTTATCTTCAAAAATATGGTGTGAAGGCTAGTAGTGGGGGTGGAAGAGCATCAGCCAGAGAAACAGTTGGTATATAAAAAAAATTTTTTATAGAAAAATTTCCAAAAAAAAAAACACGAATAATATGATATAAGATGATCAATGTTCTTTCATTATTTGAAAAAAAATAGGGCGCGTAGCTGCCGGGGCTATTGCAGAGAAATACCTTAAACTTGCATATGGAATTGAATTTGTTGCTTTTGTATCTTCAGTTTCAAATATTACAATGCCTTTTATTCAATATGAAAATGAGGAAAGAGTTTTCCCACAAGATTTCTGGGATTTTTTAAATAATATAACCAGGGATGAAGTTGATAAAGATCTTGTGCGATGTCCTGATAAAGAAACTTCAGAAAAGATGAAAGAGGTTCGCGTAGAAATTTTTCTTTTATTATTATTTTTTATAAGTTTTAGGTGTAAACTAAATATTAATTATATCATTAATTATTATTATTATTATTATTAATTATTTTATAGCGTATTCTTTTAGCTAAAGATGCTAAGGACTCAGTAGGAGGAACTGTTACATGTATTATTCGTAATGTACCTCCGGGGTTAGGTGAACCATGTTTCGATAAATTAGAAGCAAAACTTGCACACGCTATGCTATCGATTCCAGCTACTAAAGGATTTGATATTGGAAGTGGTTTCAAAGGAACCACCTTATTAGGTCATCAACATAATGATCCTTGGGTAAAAAAAAACGAAAAAGGTATATTAGGGACTAAAACCAATAATTCGGGAGGGATTCAGGTACTTTAAATTGTTCTTATAATAATAAAATTTATTTCTTTCACCATTTTAATAAAATCCAATATATATATTTGACGCGTCCCAATTTATTATCAGGGTGGTATTACGAATGGTGAAAATATTTATTTTCGTGTTGCCTTCAAACCACCGGCTACTATCTCTCAAGAACAAGAGACAGCAACATATGATGGTAAAGATGGAATACTTGCTGCAAGAGGTCGTCATGATCCTTGTGTAGTGCCACGTGCAGTTCCAATTGTTGAATCTATGGCTGCCTTGGTTATTATGGAGTAAGTTATTCATATTATATAATAATATTAATATTTTAGAATATATATTTATAATTCTTTTATTTTTAGTGCTCTTATGATTCAGAAATCAAGACAAGCTACAGCTTCGTTATTACCTCCAATAACTAATCTTCCACCTACCATGTCGGGAGCTGTACAAAATAATTTTAAAAGCAAATAACGATGTTACTTAATCAAATTGTTACGTTTAGATTGATCAATGAAAGAATTTAATTTATTTTGAAAATTTCGACTTATAATAATTAAACTGTATATTTATATTAATAATAGAGAATTATTTATATAATAATAAATAATAATAAAATGAAGTATAATAATATATACAAACAATCAATATAAAGCTTTTATTATTTGAAATTTTTATTATATTATATTAAAAATCTAATACAAATCTTTTATGTACATGATCAGAAAAAATTAATGAATTAAAAATATCATGAAAGAAATTCGAGAAATTAATCCCTCCCATAAAACTATTTCTATAAAAATTATGAAAAATGTAATGTTTTTTTTTTTTTTCAAAATCAAAAGATCTATCCTACATTAGAGACATAATCTTTATTGAAAAGTGCTTCATATTTAATATTGAATGATTTTTGCATAATCTCGGAATCTTTATAAACATCTGATCCCTCAAGATTGAATGATTTCGCATTGGCAAACATTAATTCCATATCCCTCTTAAATTCTTCAGCGCTATTATATAAGTGATCTTCAATCTTCTGACGAATTATATTAATTGAAATTGGTTTTTTGATTTGATCATAATAGTAAGGATAAACTTGTTTACTAGGAAGTTCATAGAATAATTCTGCACGATACCGATATTGTCCTCGACGTCCTTTAACACGCAAATTCGTAATATGACTAAGACATTCTAGGATATGATTATGGAGTGCAGCACTCTTTTTTTCAACTGACTTGGTTTTATAACGTTTAGGTCTAGGTGCCGCCTCAACTTCCATATCCTCTGTTATTTCATCTCTCTTATTAATTCTATCTTTCTTATTACCATTACTACTACTATTATTATTATTATTATTATTATTATTATTATTATTATTATTATTATTATTACTACTACCATTATTAAGAGATAAGGTAATTATTGTAGATTCCTTTTTCTTGTTTTTAACTTTACGGTTTGGCCTTGTCTTTTCTTCCGTTTTTTTGGAAGTTTCAGCTTTAACCTCTTCAACATCTTGATCTTTGGATTTGCGTTTTCGTTTTGAACGATTTTCAGGTCCATCTTCAGGTTCATCATCAAGTTCATCATTAGGAACGTTATCTTTTGTACTCTCTTTTTCCTTTTTCACCTTTATAGAGACATTTTTTTCTTCTCCTTTTCCTTTTTTCCGTTTTGACAGAGATACAGTTTCTGTATCAACTTCTGGAATATCCATTGGTATGGCATAATTGATGGTTTTGCGACTTCTTTTTGGACGAGGAGTTTGTGTAGGTGATGATGATTCTTCTGCAGAATCGTCTATGGATTGAGAATCACCAATTGATCTTGTCGAAGATGATTCTTCAACAACGTCTTGTTTAAGTTTCTTTTTTTCCTGTCGACGACGATTTGCTTTTTGTTTTTTGGCAATAAGGTTCTCAAGGTCAACATTATTCTCTACTGCAGCTAAGAATTGGTCTTCTGTCAATCCATCATCATAAATAACCTCTTTGCGTTGACGTTGTCCACGTCCATATTCAACTCCATCATCGAGAATAGGTCTAAATTCTCTAAGGTAAACTTGAGGTAATTCAGATTCTGTAATTAACCTTTCTGGAACAGGTAAACCTTTTACTTTCCACTTAGCCTCTTCTGCACGAATTCTCTCTTCATCCATTTTTCGAAATAGGATAAGTTCATCTTCACTACGTGCAATAATTTCGTTGATTTCATCATCATCTAGATCCTCCCGTTCATCACCACCAACATCCGTGTTATCACCTTCAAGAAGGGATCGAAGAAATTCCTCACGAGCTTTATCAGTGGTAGTTTGATCAAATTTACCGGCTTGAATAACTTTACCATCCATATCTAGTTTAAATTGTGCTTTAGCCAAAACTTTTTCTTCAACTGAATTTTGCGTAATCAATCGAAGTACTTGAACTTCTTTTGTTTGACCAACACGATGAGCACGATCCTGCGCTTGAAGATCTTGATGTGGATTCCAATCGGAATCATAAAGAATAACAGTATCAGCAGATTGAAGATTTAAACCCAAACCACCTGCACGAGTACTCAATAAAAATATAAAATATTGAGAATCTGGACTATTAAAGGATTTTAATAAAGTGGTTCGATCATCTGATTTAATACTTCCATCTAATCTTAAATATTTATAACCTCTCCAGTTGAGAAAATCTTCCATAATAGTTAAAATATTTGTCATTTGACAAAATAATAAAACACGATGTTTGGTTGCAAAATATTTGGGTAAAACTCGGTCTAAGAAGTCAAATTTTCCTGATACACGAACCAATAATTGATCATCATTGGTAGGGTTAATGTCTTGTTCCACTTCTTTAAAAACAAAAGGATGATTGCAAATCTTTCGTAACTGCATTACAGTATTTCGATGACTCTTTATACCCGTTTTTCCTCTTTCTCCACTTCCAACAAATATGGCTCCGTGAGTAATCATTTGACTATATAATTTTTGTTGAAGTGCAGATGATTTGACTTTTATTATTCGTTCCACTTTGTCAGGCAACTGTGATTCGACATCTTTTTTCAAACGGCGAAGCAAGAATGGACGTAAAACTTTATGTAATCTTCGTATGATCAATAAAGTTTCTTCTTCGTTTAATTCGATTTTATCTTGCCCACCTGTATTTGCAAATGGCGTGTTAAACCATTCCTCGAAACTATTAACCGAATTGAAAATTTTCGGTAAAATAAAGTTTAACAATGCCCATAATTCAGGAAGATTATTTTGAAGGGGAGTCCCAGTTAAAATAAGCCTATATTTAAGAGCGTAATCATTGGATAAAACTATTGAAAGCCTAGAATTGTTATTTTTCATACGATGACCTTCATCGATTATGCAATATAACCATTTCTGTTTACTTAGAACAGCCTTATCTTTGATAATATATTCGTAAGTGGTTAGAAATACTTGACATTCGGGATTTTTTAAATACTTTTTTTGAAGAAGTTTTCGAGTAGGAGGGGTCCCTTTGTAAGTACAAATTTTTATGGAAGGAGCCCATTTTTCAAATTCCAATACCCAATTTGTCATAGTAGACAATGGGACAATGATTAAATAAGGACCTCGTTCATTCTTTCTTTCAACAAGATAAGTAATAAGTGATATTGTTTGAATTGTTTTTCCTAAACCCATTTCATCAGCCAAAATACCATTTAGACGATTATTAAATAGTGAAACCATCCATTTCAGACCTTGAATTTGATAATCTTTTAATATTCCTCCTAACAGAATGTTAGGTTGTTCAACTTCTTCTTGTACTTTGTGAGCAATTGCAAGATAATCGATTTTCTTTCCATCTTCACCATCTGCTACTGTTTCAGTCTCGGTATCATCACTATTGACATTATTGGTCTTATTGTTCTTCATGTGATCTCTCTGATGTTCTAGGACAGCTTCGGTCAAAGTTTCTAGGAATCGATCAGTTTGTCGTAATAAATGTGTAATTCGTTCATCTTTATGTTCATCAACCAACTTCATATAAGCTTCTTCGTCATTATTTTTTAATGCATTTATACGTTCTCTAGCTGATCGTTCCATTTCCTTTTGTGCTTGCCGTTGAAGATGAGCATGATAGGCGATGATTGATCTTCCTAATTTATAACGCTTAACTTGTTTAGTTTCAGCCATAAGTTGTAAGTGGAAGGCTTGTGAGATGACTTCGTTACACCTTTTCATTCTCTTTTCTTTTTCTTCACGGGTCCTTGCTTCTTTCCTTCTCATTTCTTCCCTTTCGTAATCTGCTGCAGTTTTAATCCTTTTGAGTATAGGACGTTCATATTGTTTCAGATTAAATTTTCGTTCTTTTCGAGGATTAAAAAAATATTGAGAATATTGAATAACTTTTTTTCGAATTTTCTGTTGTTCTTGTCTTAATTTTAAAGATTTTAATTCTATTATTTTTTTTATTTTGGGACCAGATATGTCTTCACTTAATTCACCAACATTTAAAGGATCATTTGATAAATTTGATGGTAATTGTTCCAACTCTTGTATACGTTTCTCTACCCTATTGTTTATTTCTAATTCACGTTTTTCAGCTTCTGCGTTCATTGTTTCTAGAAACTCAGGAGTCGGTATCCAAGCTAGATCGTTATTTGTATTTTCTAATGTTTGATCTTTATTAATTTTATATAAAAATTTATTGGATTGAGAAATGTTTTCTGAATCGCTGTGTGAAAACAATCCAAGAAATAGATTTTCGGGTATGGGATTATTAGAAGCCAAGAGAGAATAAGCCAATCTATGATGTTTTAGTCTACTCATTTGTTCAGTAGTTATTTTTACTTGATTTTGACGTCTCTTTTCTCGAATTTCCTTTTCTTTTAAACGTAAAAAATCGAATCCCATTTTGCAAACTTGGCTATCGCGATCGGTTATGCCCTTATTCGTCATTTCAAATAAGGCACTGACAAGTTCTTTGAATTTTTCTTTATTAAGTGTTCCTTCATGATTTATTGTAACTTTATCGTTTAGTTCTTCTATCGTTGGCTTTTTGCGATGGAATACGTAAAACTTATCCATTTTTACTCTAAAATTTTTGTAAATGAATGTTCATTTAATGTTAATTTTTTTAGTATTACACAACCAATCAAACTCAAATTCACGTGATGATAGTGATCAATTTCGCACATGACTTTTTAACTCGAAAACCTTTACACTCTCTAACTATCACTAATGAAGGGAACCAATGGCAAATAATGTCCTCCCTCTATAGGTTGGACTATGCGGTAAGGAGTTTACTATCAAATTTTGTAGTCGCGGTGGTTAGCACGGTGTTTGGGTTATGTACGTAAGTGTGTTAGTCATTTTATTAAAAAGAATTTTTAAAAAACTATAGTTTGTTTTTTAAAATTTTAAAATTTGCTTAATAAAATGAAAGAATAAATTTTAAATCTAAATTTTAGTTTAATAATTTATCATTTTATGCATTTGGTTTATAAACGTTATTATTAACATTTATTTTTTAGCGTTTTTGATTATATATTTTTATATTTATTACATTTTATATAAAAAATACATTTAAATAACTAGTTAATCTAAAAAAAGGGGGGTTGATCTAGTTTCAAACTTTACCACTTTTGGAAATTTTGGATAATGGCACGTATTTTAATATTTTTTAATATGTATTTCAATGTAAATCAAAACAACACAACGCGAAAATTTTCAAGATCATGTGATTATAGTAAATATCTACCATTTATATTTTTAATATACATATATATCATATTATATTAATATATTGTAATTATATGTATGTATGACTTTTTAATATACTTTTTATATTTTCCACGCGTAATTCATTTATTATCTTTTTAAAAAAAAATAACAATAAGTAATAATAAGTAAACATTACCTGAACAGATGTTGTGCTACATGATTTGATAAAGAAATTTATTGATTATCTTTTTTATTTTAAATGTGACTCTTTAAAAAATATTAATAATTATTATAATAATGGCTAGTAATAAATTTTTACCCTTCAAATTCAAACTACCTTCTAAAAAAGTTTTGATATTTTTTGGTACTTGTGCTGGTTTAGCTGGTTTAATTTATCGCGACAATATATTATCTAAAGAAGGTAAAAAACGCGTTGAAGATAAAGTCGCACACCTTGCCTTGGAACCTTTAGATTCTCATGATTTTCCACCTAAAGTAATTGTTTACTTAGCACCACCACTAAGCGATGGACTTCATAAAACGAGAGTTCATTTTAGAGAATATGTAAAGGTATGGAATTCAATTTATTTGATATTTGATTAATAAAATTTTTAATTTTTATACTTGAATTATACATTTTTCTTATATGAAAAAATAGCCAATTCTTGTTGCCTCGGCATTCGATTATGAAATTGTTGAAGGTCCACAACCCGGACAAATTCGGTCAAAAGTGAGAGAAGCGATAAGAGAAAGACGTCGTAAAGAATCAAACAAATCAATACAAAATGACAATAAATCTAGTGAATCTAATGAATTCACAAATGAATCACAATTTAAATCATCAGATAAAATAAGTGATGGTGCCATAGTTATAGGTCGTGTTGGTTTTGTAGAATATTTGCAAGGTTTAAATGATGGGTGTTATGCTTCTCTTTTGGATCAACCTGAAACTGGTCAATTAAAAGAATCCACAACTGGAAAATCGGAAAAATCCACAACCGGAAAATCAGAGGAATCTACGACAAATGATTTAGAACCTTCAAAAGTAAATAATGTGAATGATGATAAAAGTAATACAAAATCTTCGCAAGAATTTATAAAAGATGAAGAAAATTTTTCTATACCCGAACTTGAACCTATTGGATATATTCATTTTTATAATCGAATTGGTTGGAAATATATTCCTTTGAGAATTTATCACGCTCTTAATTCTTATATGAATTTTGACATTGCAAGCAATGAAACCACCAAAGTTGTTTTAGGTAATAAAAGGAAATTTACTAAAGAAGATTTGAAACTTGGAAAAGATGAAGAGAAATTCTTTAAGGAACATCTTGAAGAATCAAATTTAGATGAAAGAATTGTTGAAAAGTTAACCATTTTTATATAATATTCAAGTATATAGAAACTTAATTTCTTATTTAACAATATTAATACATTTCTATTTATTTATTTTTTCTTTTTAAAAAAAATTGACCAAATTAAAAAATGAGAATAAATTCAAATAAATTCATCTCATCCCTTCATTATTATATTATATATAGTTAAAGTAATTGCATATTTTCACTATTGTTATATTGACTCCTATACATTTCAGCAACCTAAATTATAAAGAATTATAAAAAATTATAAAAAATTACAAAAAAATTTAAAATTTAAATTTTTCGGTTTATCGACTTAATCTTAAATAGCAATCAAAACAATAAATTTGATACTTTACTTGTTCACATGTGGTCGCGTCTTCCGCCTTTTTGTCCTCTCGTACTTGTATGAATCGTGGAAAACGTAAAGATACTCCCTTATTATGATCAACCTAAATACATAAAAAATAGATCATTCAAAATGATTTGATTAAAATTAATTTTTTTTTTAAAAAAAAAAAAATAAATTATAATTACCATTCCGACTGCTGCCTTATATATAGGAGAAATACTGAGATCAGCCGCTTTTACTTCCCAGACCTGAACTGGTTCAAACCAAACGTCTGGATTTGCTCCTTTGTCATAGTCGTAATAATTTCTTGGTGCGGAAATTTCGTGTTCTTTAAGAAATTTAAAATGATTTCCCAAAGAAACATCAGAAAATCCCGTTCCAATTCTGCAGATTGTTTGGTATTTTTCTTCCTCCGGATTATAACAGGCGAGAAGGAATGCACCATAGACATTCGTACGTTTCCCGCGTCCTAGATATGCTCCAATGACAACAAGATCTAGAGAATCTCCTACACCACTAAGATAATCTTTTTTAAGCTATAAATAAGAAATCGTGGGAAATATGAAAAAAAAGATATGAGATTACTTGCTACATTTAAATAAACCCAAATGTAATTATTAACAATTTCTTACCTTCAGCCAGTTTCTCGACCTTTTTGAAGGTTCATACGTCGATTCCTGGCCATCAAGCACTTTAATCATCAATCCTTCGCAATTGTATTTGAAACTCTCATCAAGGAACGTCTGAATTTCTTCAGTATTGGTGGCATTCATGTGACGCACAAAAGAGAATTTATTATCCACTTCTTGGAAAGCATTGAACAAATGTTGGCGTCTTTCTTCAAGCGGTTTCTTAAGAAATGACTAAGAAAAATGACAATTTTAGTATAAGGTCATATTTACATAATCTTCCATAAATAATAAAACTAAAAATTGAAATAATTCTCACTTCTCCGTTTAAATACAACAAGTCAAAAGCAAAAAGACAAACGGTAACTTTGATATCCTTCTCTTTGACGTCTTTTCTTTTACGAGTGCTTAAAATTTGAAAAGGTAAAAGGCATTCTTTCTCCAGATCCCATGCAACAACTTCACAATCAAGTACAAAAGATTTTGTATCAGGTTTCACAATCTAAAGACAAAATATTCGAAATTAATAAATCTTCCCAATAGAAATAATTATTATCATAAAATTTTTATTTGTTAATATTACCTGAGACATTAATTTAATAATGTCAGGAAACTTCGTCGAACTATCCTCTAAATTACGACTATATATTTTTAGAGTGCCATCTTCAAGCATGTGAACCTATAAATAATATGTTACATAAACATAACAATATTAGGAATTTACATAAAAATATGGACGAAATATCAAAACCCACCTGCTCACGTTCCCCATCATATTTAAATTCGCATGTAAATTTGTGCCCTTCTACTCGATCCAGTACTTCTGTGATACTTTTTGTTGGATGTGCCAACATAGGCTTAATCGGAATACCTAAATTCAGTATAAAAATGAATTTTTGGGAAAACAAATCAAAGGTATTTATATGTATTCTTTACCAGGCGTAAGTTTGCAACGTTCTTCAAGTCCTTTCACTCCATACTTTAGCAGAAGAGGAACAATAATGTCATATGATGGTACCTCACTAAATATTAAATGTTCAATCTCAAAGTTATTTTTCAAGTTTTAAATTTTAAAATATAACTTTTTTCAAATTTTCCAGACACAAACCTATAAACGGACTTTACAATATCTGAAGCTTCAGTCAATTCTTCCGTTCTTTTCGCTTGAGATAACTCTTGATATGCTACAATCATATACATTATAACGATAAAATTATTATATTTTCAAAAATATATATATCAAATATATCAAATATATTGCGTGCTAAACAATAAAAAAAAACATTTTACCAGGATCTTTCATCACAATCGATTGTGCCAAAGATATTAAAATCGTCTGTTCGGCAAGACCAATACGTAATTTTCCTTCAAGTGATCTATTTTAAAATCGAATTTTATTAAATATAATCAAAAATGTATAATATGAAAAAATACAATATAAAGATAATTGCCTTATCAAGTATTTTGCTTCTTTACCTCTGCAAGCTGTGAGCAAAAATTTGATTTCTCGAACCTTACGTTCTTGTGACTTCATAAAAATGATTAATAAGAAGCGAAGTTTTTACAATAATAAAATAAAATTTTACTTGGCACTTTTAATACATATGACATACTTCATGACCAGAAATTCCCGCAATTATTTTCATTTTATTAAAAACTACTTGAACTGTTAAAGGTTTTGGAACAAACAATGTAGGTTGGGTGGTTTTGCTATCCTAAAAAAAAAAAAGGAATCAAAAATAAATCGATGAAGAATATGAAAATCAGGTGAATGGCAAAAGGTCAAAAAATCTATACCTTTGCAACTTTACCCAGATCTCCCCACTTAGATAACTCTTCCTTAACCTTTGCAGGTTTCCGACCAGTTGTTTCTGCAATACTTTTGATTAATAAAGATTCGCCAACACCTAATTCATGACCTTCATATTCAGGGCAAACCTAAAATTCATTATAAAATTAAATTCATATAATAAACTCATATATTAAACTCATATATTAAACTAATATATTGAATTCATAGGAAAAAAGGTTTTGATAAAAAACGCGTTAAAAAAGAAAAGGAAAAAAAAGCTTGACAAGAAACACGTGAAAAAGGAAAAGGAAAGTTTTGACAAGAAACGCGTGAAAAAAAAAATCATTCTCACTCTATTCAGACATAAGTATAGAACATTCAGAAAGTCCTCTGGATTTTTTTCAATCACTCGTCCAAAAAAAGAAGTTAAGTGTTTTTGAATATCCAGACGTTTCGTAGTTGATTCGATTTTTTCAAAAGTTTTACATAGTGCAGCGTAAGGAACACTAAAAAGAATTAAAATAAATTGATGCTATAATGAATTTTGCGGAATAAATCTAAGCTTGATATTTGTTATATTTTCATTGCTTACGGCTCATTATCTTTCCAATCCACACTCATGTCTTCAAGGATTCAATTTACTCAAATAAAAAAAAATATGTAGTTAACGCGAATAATCTATAGTTTGTATCATCTGATCAGCTTTTTATATTAAATTTTGGTGCGTGCACAGTAACATGTCCTTTATAATCTTCAAAATAGGAAACCATTATTAATTTAATTAATTTATAATTGAAGGTTATTATTAACATCTTTTGGTTATTCTTCAAAATATATACATCTATTTACAAGATTTTTAACTAAACTGTATTTGTTCTTTCATTATTTTTTTTTCATCCTTTACAACCTTCAAAATAGGAAGTTATTATTAAACATTCTTTTGGTATTCCCAAATTGGTAATGAAATCAAGATCTTTTGATTTCCAGAGAATTTATAATTTTTTTATAAAAGAATTTACGTTATTTTGCAAAAAAAAAAAAAATTACATCATTTTGCAAAAAGCTAAAAACATGTAGGAATATTTGACAAGCAATTTGAACTAAAAAAATTGCTGAATTTTTATTAATCAAAAGTCTTCCAATTCAATTCTTAGATCCTCGTACTCTTTATTCTTTTCCCCAACAATAACATTACATTTTTTCTCCAACAATACTTTCATAGAAAAATAAAATTATTTTACCGATAGATGCTCCGATTCTATTATGTAACGGATATACAGATAAACTGTGTCAAAAATCGTCGTTTGTATAAATGAGAGATAATTAAGAATATACTTTTGTTCAAACCAATGCATAACGATTGTGAATTTTAAGTTTAAACTTGAATTATTGAATTGCGTAGATATATAGATATATAGAGCTTGATCTACTAAATAATTTTTTTTTGATAATCTTGAAATTTAAATAATAATAATAATAATAATGTTCATTTTACAAAGATTTCGATTTAAATTTTTTAATTCACCTTCTTTTTCTTCTATTATTTCTCTAACATCATCTCGTCCTTTTCATTCTCCAATATCATCACCAATATCGTCTTCTTCAATAACAATTAATAAATATAAAAACGCATTCGTTTATCAGCGTAATTCCTTTTTTCAAATTTATTATCAATGTCAATTTTATCGTAAAATTCACATATCCATACCACTTTTACGCTCAGAAATAAAGGAACCAATAGAAGTAAACGAAGTAAAAGGAATTAAAGAAATAAAAAAAGAAATAAAAGAAACCAATTCAACAAATAAATCAAAAGGAAATAAGGATGATAAAGAAATTTCAGCGTTTCAAATAATTTTAAAAGATGCGGGATATACATTATCAGCATTTTTTAAATTTTTTTTTATTGGATTATTAATAATTATCGCATCAATTTATCTTACATATCGAGGGTTACATATATACATAGAACATTATTTACATCCCACACCTAAAAGATTAACACGTAAAGCGCGAGATTGTCTTAGGGGAGCATATTTTCGAGAAGAAATAGAACATGATATTGTAATCGCCGAAGCATATTTAAAAAGAGCCATTGAATTAGCTATTGATCAAGGATTAGCTATTGATGATCCAGTAATTATAGATATTTGGTTACGTATTGCATATAATCATGTTTGGGCGAATAAATTTGATGAAGCTATTACGGTTTATCGATCAGTATTTGAAATGTTATTATCAAAATTCGGAAATAAAAATAATGAGAATAATAATAAAAATTATAAAGACGAGAGATTAGAAAATTTAAAGAAAGCAATTTATGTAGCAAAGAAATTAAGTGATTTATATATTAGGGTACAAGAATATGATATCGCGGAAAAATATATCAGTTGGAGAATTTTGAGATTACAAGCGTTATTACAAGGGAATAACGATATTCCAGAAGAAGAATATAATATTTCAGAAGAATATCCAACAGAAGAATTAAATATAACATCAACAATTTTTGAAAATACAAAAATGATTAATAAAGAATACATCGCATGTATTGATTCACTTGCAGGAATATACGCGAAACAAAAGAAATATAATATTGCGAAATTATTATATCTTGGAATATTAAAAATGATACAAACCAAACCAAAAGAAGAAGAAGAAGGAGGAGGAGGGAGAGGAGGAAAAAACAAAAATAAAATAGAGGAAAATGAAAAATATTGGAAATGTTGGGAAGCAATAATAATGAGTCACTTAGGAGAAGTATTTTATGGATTAGGGAAACAAAATGAAGCATTAGGATGGATGCAGCAAGGATTAAATATAACCAAGAATGGAAGTGGAATTAAAAATTGTGAAGAATGTGCAGGAGTGATTCTTAATAATTTAGGAATAATTTATGAGAGAGAAGATAAAAAGGATATAGCAATTTCATTATTTAATCAAGCAATTGAATATGCAGAAAAAGCACATGATATAAAAGGAATTGAAGATTATACAAATAATTTAAATAAATTTAATTTAGAACACATAGACAAGAAATAGTATATTTATACAGTTACAGTATACTTTATTTGATTTATAATTTTTATTTATTTAAATAAAATATTTCTATTTATTTATTTAGATTATATATAAATTATTTAGAATTTATTTATTAATTTTTTTTTTTCTAATTCCAATTCTTAATTTTCATAGTTTTTTCATCACCCAATAAACCTAAATGCATTTTAAATACTTTATCTAACATATGAGGTTCATGAGCAGCTCCTCTTTCTAAACATTTCTTTAAAGAGAAATCAAAATAATCTTTAAGAATTGGTCTATAATCTGGATGAGCACATTTATCAATAATTAATTTGGCTCTTTCTGTGGGAGCCAATCCTCTTACATCAGCTAATCCTTGTTCCGTTACTATTACATCTAAATCATGTTCTCTATATAAAAAATTAATCATATTAAATAATGTTAAATAAAATTAAAAATAATAATAATAATTATGAATAAAAAATATAATATAATATACTTACGTTGAATCAATATGTGAACACATTGGCACAATGCAGGAAACACCTTTTTTATATATGAATAATAATGAATAATGGATAATAATATGAATAATGAATAAATAATGAATAATGAATAATATCATATAAAAATGAATAATGAATAATAAATACCTATAGGATCAGTTGGAGAAGGTCTAGTAGATGGAGTATGCATAATACTTAATTTAGAATTTCTTAAGAAATCATTTGATCCACCCAAACCATTTAACATTTTACTTCCACAAATATGAGTTGAATTTGCGTGAGCATAAATATCAACCTAAATATAATATAATTAATATATAATAATAATAATTTAATATATAATATAATAATAATTTAATATATAATATAATAATATTTAATATTACCTCAACAGGAGTATTCATAGCAATTACACCCAATCGTCTAATAATTTCAGGTGAATTACTAACACTTTGACTTCTAAGCACTAATCGATCTTTTACGTCATCCCAAATTTCATAAAATCGATCAAATCCTTCCGTTGAAAATGAAATACTTGTAGCTGATGCAAAAGATAATTTATGATGTTCCCAGAAATCTAAGAATGTATCTATTATATATTTGGTAAAAAAAAAATATTTAATATGTTTAGATATAATCGATTATATTTGAATATAATTAAATATATTTGAATATATTTGAATATATTAGTTCAATAATTATTTTTTTTTTTTACCTTGAATAACTTCAGTCCAAACTTCAACATTCGAAAATGGACCATCAACTAAACCTCCAATAATAGAATTAGCTATATTTCCTACACCTGATTGAAGAGGTAAAAGTTGTTTAGGTAATCTACCCATGTTAACTTCATTCTCAAAGAATTCAAGTATATTATTTGCTATTTTTATTGATGTTTCATCTGCTAATGCACTTGCTTGTTGTTTATCTACTTTTTTTGATTCTATTACTGCAATTATTTTATCCGAATCACATGGAATATATGGCTAATATATATATATGCATATATATTGGAAATAAAATAAATATAATAATAATTAAAATATAATAATAAATATAATAAATAAATAAATAAATATAATTAAAATTATACACACAGTTCCAATTCTATCATCAACTCTTTGAATCAAAATTGGAAATTTATAAGGTGCAAATTTACTAAAAGTAATATCATGTAATCCTTCAAAATTTGGTAAAGCAGTATTAACTTCAACAATAATATTTTCTGCTGATTGAACAAGTTCTGGTGTAGCTCCCACTGATGCTCCAGGAATTAAATATCCTTCTTCTGTAATAGCTGTTACTTCAATAATTACAACATCTAATTTTTCCATTTTATTTCCCTGTACTCAAAAAAAAAAAAATTTTTTTTTTTGATTATTTGATTATTATTTATTTATTTATATTATTTGAAGATTATTTTGATATTTTAAATGTTTTTACCGGTTTATCAAGTGAATAATAACCAGAAACAAGATCCTAAATAAATTAAAAAAAATGAAGATATAATTTAATGACGTAAAAATAATCTCAAAATGACTTTATAATAGAGATTTCCCTCTTACCAAAGGAAATTCCGAAAGATGTTTATCAGCAAATAATGTTCGATTCATATTAATTTCTTTTTGAACATCTTTGCCAGATTGATATGGATAACGACGAGCTATCATTAAATTCTATTGTTATAAATATAATGTATAAAAATTACTATAATTAAAAATTAATACTATTATGTCTTATATATCTTATATGTATCTTACAACTTATATTTTTGTATATTTACCCTTGCCCATCTATTAAATGAAATGAATAAAATTATTTAAAAAAAATTAGAAATAATTAAATAATAGAAATAATAATAATAATAATATAATTATAAATATAGAAAGAAGTTATAAATTTTACCTATTTTCAGTTTCAGGAGCAACACTAGCACCCACAAATAAATCAAATCTTAATTTTCCTTGAAGTTTATTTTTTTCAACATATTCTGCTAAAGCAATTGGCGTTATTTTAGGATATCCTACACCTGTAAACCCTGACTATATAAAAATATTTATTATATTCATTACTATTATTATTATTATTTTATATTATTATTACTTATTATTATTATATTATTATTATTATTATTGTTATTATTTTATATTATTATTACTTATTATTATTATTATTATTATTATTATTATTATTATTATTATTATTATTATTATTATTATTATTATTATTATTAT